GATCTGCGAGTTTGGGAGGGGCAGTAGCCGCAGACCATAGGACGGAACCCGTAAACACGGACCCGCGACCTATGGCCGGCGGCGACTGCAAGGTGGTTGTTCCCGCGTGGCTGGTTGGTCTAGGCTGACCAGACGCGATAGGGAACGACTACCTCTCGCTAGACCTTGGTCAAGAAAGGAAGAAAAAAAAATTGAACCTCAGAGCAACTCGGGGTTCCGTTATAACCATCTAAGATGGCTGACCCTGTTGCACGTAGACACTGAAACGCACGTGAGGGAGCGCTCGCCGGACTCAATCGGTATTGGGGACGGAAACTCTTCGATTAATGTTTCACCTGCAGAAAAACCCGATGGGCTTTTCTTCCGACTGAAACCTCTGATCTGCGAGCTTGGGAGGGGCAGTAGCCGCAGGCCATAGGACGGAACCCGTAAACACGGACCCGCGACCTATGGCCGGCGGCGACTGCAAGGTGGTTGTTCCCGCGTGGCTGGTTGGTCTAGGCTGACCAGACGCGATAGGGAACGACTACCTCTCGCCAAGTCCCTCCCGATCGAGGGGATTAGGGGTGAGCGTCACCAAAGGGTTGATTCCGGGGGGGAGGACTTGAGGATTGTAACAAGGACCTCTCGGTGCCGCTAAGAGCCTTGCCGGGCGATTGTTGACACCTCCGGCGCCGCCGCGGGCCGCGGCAGATAATTTGTTATCCGTACTGGTAAAGTGTGAAAAAAAGAAGGTCGTACTATGACGGTTAAGCCTATGGAGATGGAGGCAGATATTGACTTAAACTGGAGGTCGCGCCATTATCTCGAAAGAGGGGAATCGTGAACTTTGCACGAGGCAAGTAAGCGTTCGACCTTCTCGTAGGGTACCACATCTTTTGTGTATCACGGTGTGCGATCTGTATATTGGAGGCGCAGGAACGGCGACGAATGCCGCCCATCGTACTATGCGAATACCGTGGCGAGGCATTCTGGAACCCTCCGACACGCGACGACCGGGTGGCCGCGAGGTGCGCATGCTCATGGCGGATTAAGATGGTGTCGATCTTGACGTAGAAAAACTTGCTCTCTGAGGGGGAGGTCTTGCGGTAATTCCGCCCCGAGGGGCCCGAGCCGTGTTTCGTACGGAGTAGGGAGAAGGGATGGCGGATGTGCTGGTATGCTGTACTGCGGCCGGAAATGTGACCGAAGTACTCGCGCGAACGGAAAGGACGCGGGTGGAGCTGGGACTGTTCCAATTCCACCCAAATTTCAGTGCAATTTGGCGAACGACGAGACTTACCGGCTTTTAGTGCTACGATGAAGTGCAGCACTTCAAGTGCTGCTAGGCCGACGACAGGAGCCGATTAAGCCGATGTAGGTGTTATGTTGTCTCCGTATTTGCGCGACGGGCGCGTTACCTTCGCTATCGAGAGAGGCCGCGCGTTAGCTCGGAAACTCTAGTTCTAGGGGAGTTCGGCATCATCGAACGTAGGAGCCCTCGCTGCGCAAATTGCGCGGTCTCCCCAACCCCAAGACTAGGTCAAGGGCCGAGACGTCGGGACGAGGGAGATGACGTTGGCTGATGTCCGTAGGAAGTTTGGGAGTGGAATTGAATCGGTCGGTCAGACGAATGAGATATTTGCTCAGAATAGGCCATTCCTGGACCGGAAGAACACGAGGCTGTCAGGACAGAGATAGAAAAGCTGCTATAGTTTGTGATCATGTTGGCTCGTGGGCACGCAGCGCCGTCTTCGCCTGAGTAGCTATCAGAAGGAGGAACTTGAAAGATCAGGCATTAGCTGCTCGGTGAGGGCAGTCGGTCCTCAACGTACATCGTAGACGTAGGGGGCTCTATGACGAGAAAATGCGAATCTTAGGCATTGGTGGGGGACCAAGTTGCCAACAAGCCGGCCGCGAAGCGGTTGAAAGCGTCGGCGTTGTCTCTCAGGTATACGTTCTCGAGGGTCTCTGTTGAGGCCCAGCGCCCAAATTCAGCCACCGTAGGGATAGGAAAATTCTCGGATCCGCAACAAATTGCGGACCCGGAACGACGCATTGTGTGCGAAGATAAACGAATGCCCGCCTGAGGTACGTCCAGAACTCTGGCCATGGCCGACTTCAAGTTATCGTTGAAGGTGGAGTAGGTGAAGGGAAAAAGGCGATCACTCGGTGCGGCCGCTGACGCTGCTCTTCTCAGGAGGCGATGAGCCGCGCACAGTTGAGACGTACAAGAGGACGGTTCGCTGCCGAAACGGGCTCGTGATATGATGCAAGGAATCGGCCTCCGAACTCCTTTTGCGCCCTGATCACACTTCGATCGAGGGATTTTCAGCGTCACGCCAGTGATGAGAACCGAATCAACCACGGTGTGGAAAAGGTCGACATGCTGCGCTTCGATGTTCAGCATCTCGTTGACGCGAAGGAGTGCCATAGTGCCCACGAGGAAACCGTCGCCAAAAGCCTCGCCTGCCGTGTCGAGGGCATGGGTTACCTCGTAGACTTGTTCTTTGGTTAGGGTGAAAGCGCGGGAAACCGCGGAACCGACCTCCCTCTCGGCGGCGCGTAAGGCTAACTGCACAGAAGCTGCTTCACCTTCGCTCACTGAGCGACGCTCAGTCGCAGATCACCACTCAGACGAGCTGCGTGTCTCACTTGAGAACAGTATTTAGAGATAGTACTGAAAGCGTAGCGACCTTGGGCCATCGAGCTGACAAGTAATACGAGGGACCTTGCTCCTACCGGGAAGGGAGGAGTGCCGGTCGATTCGCAGATAGCGGAGTATAGGTTCAAGGCTGACCGGTATTGAGACTGAGTAGACCATGCGTGGCCGCTCCTCACAAAGGCCTCCAGGGAGTGGCCGGAGGCCCTCGACGCATAGCGTACGGCAGCAGATGCTTGCGCCGACGGGTGATGTGAAGATCTGACTGGAGCGAACTTGTAGAGGTTGGAGAAGGAATTACTTGAAAGTGAGTCCTGGTCGCACGCTTGATTTCCGGGCTGGACCGTAGTCGGTAGGGGTCGGAAGGTCCCTTGATGACGTTGTTCGACATCGGAAAGAGCCCGGGCAGTTTTGTTGGTGTTTATAGTCGTAGTAGGCTGGGAAACAGAACCAACAGGCGGATTAACGGGAGACCAGCTTATGTTAGGGAGAGGGCACCAGAGTTGACTCACGACCATGATTCCTGGAGGAACTGAAACTCCGAGACGAGAAATTGCGAAAGGTCTCTGAAGGGTCGGAGGTTCACTCTCCCGGATTAACGGAATCTTGAATAACGCGACGCACCAAACAAGTTTGAAATGGTCTGTTTCATTATTTAAGTAGCGGAAACACACTGTCGGCTTAGAAGAAGGTACGCACGTCGCAGGGCATCTCGGTTCAAGTGTCAGACGAGAGTTCCGAGATATCGAAGGTACGGAACAGCTCGTCGACAGGGACGAGAGTCGCGATGCGATCGATAGCGGTTGGGAGGTGGCGACTCACGGCGTCGGCGAGTATGTTCGATTTCCCGGGCAGGTGAACGGGCTCAATGCGAGGACAGAAAGGCAGAGAAGATAGTACCAGCGCGAGGCTCCTTAAGATATGGGCGCCGCGGGAGGTGGAGGAGAAGCATCTCTCCAGAGCTCGAATACACGACGAGTTGTCAGAAAATAAAACAAGCTTATTGGTGTAGATCATCCTCGAGACCACCATGCACACCAACAGGCCAGATGCCAATAACTCCAGCGCTGCGACGTCGGCCGGTTCCGGGGCTCGACGGTCCTGGAAGATTACTTGGTACCACTCTGGTGGAATGTCGGCTAGGGTAGCGTGGAAGTATAGGATGGTGGCTCTATCGTCGGCTGAGCTCTTCACTCTAGCCCAGCCTCCAAGTCCAGGTAGTGAGGCGTCGGACGCGCCTGTCCACACGACCCCACTGGCTGTGGCAAGAAGGGTGACATGCAGCTCAGAGATGCCAACCCTCCAAAGAGAAAGGTCTGCTCGAAGGGTCCGACCTATGACAGCCGACCTCTTCCTACTAGTCTCCATGTGCCGTATGACACCAAACAATGAGCACAGGTATGATCGCAGAAACCATGCCAACTGACCGAACCACAGCAAACGGCCAGTCAGGCGTCGAGCAGCCTGAAGGGTTATCCGGCCGGACTCTAGGACCTTGTCGATATCTTGCTGAATGGCACGGGCCTTGGCAGTGGGAACCGACACGATGGGCATGGGCACTCTGAGGAGAGGGCAACGGAAACCCGAAAAGAGCTAAACGCTAAGCGAGCCCCTACCTTCCGCAACTATGACACAAAAACACGTTTTAGGTGGGAGGAAAATGGAGACGCTGAAACGGAGCCAACACACTGAGCGAATTACGGGCAAGTATGCATCGCAGATTACGGTACAACCAATTGCAATTCGTAATCATAAAGGAGTCACCAAGTCAGTCGCGAGTCACACCATGCTGACGCCGCCAGGGGCTGAACCATCGAGATGGAAAGTAAAGCCGAGGATTGTGGGACTCTCCATACCGATGGTCAGCTTGTTATAACTAACCCTGAACCCCAGAGAGACGATCAGCAGCGTATACATTGCCAACAGAAAAGGCGTGGTCGGTGCTGGGAACAATATGGAGACATCGTCCACGTAGCAACTCCCTACTGACAGGTAGGGCCGGCTCAGGTGCTGGAAGGTGCGAAGATGGGCGGAACTGAATCGGCACCACCAGATGCCTGACGATCGCAGGCCGAACGGCAGCCGGTTGTTGATGACAGAGAACGTGTGGCCATCTCTACCTGGGCTCCTAACCTTAACGGCCAAGAATCGGGACTCGTCGCGACGGCAGGGAAGTTGTCGGTAAGCTGCCTGGTAGTCTAGTTGACCCACCCAGTGGGTGGCACCCACCAGGGATTGCAGCGCTGAACGGCCGTGATCGCTTCCATCGCTACCTTGGTGTCGTCGATACTAGGTAGGACTATCGTCTCAGGGATCAAGTCGTTGTCGACACCCACACGGTTAACGCCGCTAGCACGGTAGTCTTCGACGATGCGGATTCCCGTGAGAGGATCCGACGGGGCAGGACCAGTACAGCTCGGTTTGGCCTTCGCGATCAGGGCACACTTGACGTAGGTGAGGTCGGTGCGGTCTGGGTCGACCTCCTCCATGAAACCACTCTTAATGTCACGCATGACCTTCTGGTACAGCAAGTCCATACCCACTTCAGCGGAGGCATAATGTCGTTCGAAACCCTTCACGCACTCTGGTGGTTCGCGTGAGATACGGCTTGCATCTGGCTGAAACTCTGGCAGATTCCCTGCTCTAGGGACGGGGTGTAATATACCACATGGTAGATCAAGAGGGTCCTCAACGCAGTCGGGGAGTGTCTCGTCGACGTCATTGCATTACCGTAACATGGCAGCGAAGAGCTGGCCGTAGTAGTCGGCGCGAGGGGACTTAACTTCCTCGGCTCCGAGTAAACGACAGAGGCATTCTCGGCAAAGAGCTGCGGCCGTCTCGAACCTGCGTTCTAGGACCAATGGATTAGCAGGAATGCCTCCGGACTTGGCGACGTCGGACAACGTGGTGTCTGGACCACATGCGACAACACAGCGGGTAAATATAGTGAGCCAGGGGGAGCTGGGGTTCTTGATCAAAGCCACGCTACTAACGTTGAAGTCGGGCAGAACTGCGCCCAGACCAGAGCCGTCTTGGAAAAGGCTGGTCGGAGGAATGGAGTAGCGCTCGGATGCTGCCGCTACAGCGTCGATGTGGGCCGCTAGATCTTTGTCGTCCTTGAGGTCAGTCTTCTCGGCCGACTCTGAGATGGCGGCGATACAAGAAACGGCTGTGAGGGCCAGGGCTAGACGACGCCTTTTCCTGGACGAATAGGCCTTACGGCGGGACGAAACAGCCTCCGCCGAGCGCTTTCTGGGCATGTCGCTCGAGAAAGGGGGAAGCTGACAAAGGTCGATGGACGAGGCGGACCGCCTCAGGCGGTCTCGAAACTCAATCCGAGAAAAAGGTTACGGAAACAACGCTACTCGCCATACCTGATGTGGTACACTGTAATTAGATTAAGGAGAAGTATCCTACTCACCATGAGGTGACAAACGGTGGGAGTAACTCGCTCTTCAACTGCGAGCATTGGACGATCCGGGTGATGGATCACCTCCCTGAGGAGAACCCTGGCCTTTGCCCTTTCCAGATTGCCGAGGCGGCATAGACGACGGCTGACTAGGCGGGCCACCTCTCGAAGTCCTCAGGCGATTGTTGGGCTGACCGTTGTTGTACCCAGAATCTTGACGCTGGCGCTTGCGACCCGAGTGGTAGCGGGAAGCGTTAGGGTTGGTGGAACGCCTGAACGCCTCCAGGCGGACAGCAGCGGCAGCTTCCATGACGATAGGGCCATAAAGAAGGGGGTCCACGAGGAGGTCGGTGAACAGTCGCTGGCCGCTTCGCACTAGGCCGTCTAATCTTAACCTGAACTTGCGGTCGGCCTCGATGGCGATGCGCCAATCATACTCGATGGCTGTGTTGATGATAACGCCGAAGTAGTGCATAAAGTGGTGGAGACGTAACTCTGCGCCCTCAGGAGCCTGAACGCCACCGGGATAGTCACCACCCGGAGAGACTGCCACTCCGGTAGCTCTCCTATGGATTTGTATGGTGAGGATAGCGTATGACCATAGAAAATAGGCGCGGACGAACTGGTCAGCTCGTAGCTTCTTCTTGTCGCTAGCGTCCCCGGACGAAGAGAGGCCGCTGAAGCCAGTTTGGACCAGTACTGGGTCACCGGAGACCGACAGGGCGAGTTCCGCTTCACGACCGTTGGCCGAACCGTTGGGACCAGAATCCGAAACCAACGACGAGTTGAAGTCGACGTAAACGGATAGACCGCCTCAATAA